TCATCATCGCTTTATTCTCTTTCCTCGACTACAGCAGTTTTGAGAGCTAAGCCTTTACTCTTCACTTTGTCATAATTGTTGTTGATTTCAAAAGTTCTGAGCTCTCCAAGAAGTTCATCAACATCCAATGACGCCACTCTTTGAGAACTTTCAAGAGCCGTGATTTTCTCTCTAAACTGGGAACAACGGTTCTCATAATCTTCTGGACTTGACGTTTTTCAGAGATTTCTTCTCCAAGCATCATGCTTTGGTTTACCAGATCACAAAATCTGGCATAGTATACGTCAATTGTCTCTTCATCTCTCATTTTGATCTCATCAAATTCAAGAGTTGCCCGTTGTAGTCTGGACACTTTGACAGCCGTTGAACCTTCAAATTGACGCTGTAAGACCCTCCAAGCATGTTTAGCATATTGCAATGTACTATTATCTTGTGTCTTGTCTGATCAACTGTCATCATGATCGTATATAAGGTATGATAGTTGGCTTCTTCTTGAAGCTTCTCAGCATCAGTCCAGTTGTCCTTAGGTTTAGAAACCGTGATTTTCGTTGTTGTTTCTTTACCTTGATCGGGTGCTCGTTGCATGACAGGATGCTCCCAGCCATTTTCAACACTCTCCCACACGCCTTTTCCAAGCGATCTCAAAAAGATTGTCATCATAGACTTCCAATATGAGTAGTTCGAACCGTCCAATTGCGGAGGCCTGGACATCGATCCGCTTTCTTGATTCATGATTTAAGAGAACAGACGTCCTAGGATCTTTCGTACTGAAGACGAAAACCCGCTCTGGTGCCAATTGAAATTTGATACTTGAACACCAAGTATCCAGAGTTGCACAAAAATAGACTAACAAATAGTAATGAATATTCAAACAGTTGCGGAAGCAACTTTCACCAAAAATTGAACCTCCAGGAGAGCGTCCCGCTCTCCCTTCAGATCTCTTTCATTAATGTGAACAGCTCATACATCATCCAAGGGTTTACAGTATAGACTCCCTCTACACTCTACTTGAATAATGATTCACACAACTACTTATCTGACCACAACTCCCTTGTGGATTTTTTTTAGTTTGAATCCCTCAAACTAAATCAGAATGGACCTCTGAACCTTCTGTTACAAAAACAAATATGATGTGCTTATCACTCCAAAAAAGAAAACAAAAATGAAACTCAAAAAATTCTCAAAACGAAAGTCGTCCTCAACTCTGGTCTCGTCCTCCTTTTATATTCAACATCCTATGTGAAGTCTTTTCACCCAAGACAAATGCGCATAAAGAATGTAAATCTCTCGAGCTTCTTCAGCTTTGATTATGGAAAGTGTGTATCGCGATCTATATTATGGAAAGTGTATCTCCCCCTCAATCCCAAAGTCCTGCCAAAATAATAAAATAAATAATCAATCCCTTGGACTTAATTAAAATTAAAACTAATTCATGCCAAAAATAAACTTCCCTTAAATACATCCGTAAATTTCTGGACTCTGCGAACATCAGAAGCTTCATCGATTTACTGTCAATCTTCAGCACTTACAAGGAGTCTGAAGATTTACAAAAGTCTAAAGAGTCTGAGGAAAAAATAAACATGGAAACATTGAGTTAAACAACTTGCAAAACATCTCTGATAACTTCTTGTTTATTCTCAAAGAAATCACTTCTCGCAAATACCTTATACAGATTACTTTGCAGTTCTCTGAAAATTTCAAAATGAATACCGTAGCACTTTTTGATACTGGAGTTGATTTAAATTGTATTAGAAATAGTATTATACCCAAAAGATTTCAAGAAGAAACTACAGAAAGTCTTTCTACAACAAATAATTCTAAAATGGATATTTGTTCAAAAACCGAAGCAATTATTGTCAATAATGGTACTTCGCTAAAAACATCTTTTCTGCTTGTAAAGGATATAACCCACACAGTCATTTTAGGAACTCCTTTTATAAATTTAATCACCCCTTATACTGCGGAAACAAATTCTATTTCTTTTAAAACTAATAACAAAAGATTATATTTTGATTTTCTTGAAAAATCAAAAAATGAAAATTTAAATTTAATCAAAGCTTATTACATTCACACAATAAATAGTATTACATTGACAAAAGATCTTGTTAAAAAACAAAATATTCACAAAACATTTCCAAATTTACAAATTCCTTTCCAGAAGAAAAACGATTCTAACCTTCCAAATACTTTTGAAGAAAAAAATTAAACTATCCATTTTCCATATATGAAGAACCTTTTTACCAAACCATAATAACTACTTTTCAAAACAACTTTGAGTACTATTTTATGTTCTCACATTTATTCTTGCAGGTGGATCGTTTCGAGATAGAAAAAATCACTCTTTACAGAAAAGACTTCCCCTTCAAAGGCCTAGAATGTAGGTCACTTCCGACGGATCATCAGATACTGCTAAACAATTTTTATAATTGCAAAAATAAGAGACAACTACAAAGAAGCTTAATTGTTTTAGAGTGGTATATCTTCAACAAAACACAATCTCAGTATTTTGTAATTCTCAAAGGTGTTAAAACAGGTGTTGTCAAAAGTTTCTTTTCAATAGAACACCTAGTAGAAATACAGAATCCTGTTTTCTGTGGATTCCATGATATCCAGAAAGCCATGAAATTCTCTTAAAATCCTTTCAGAACACATTCTTTGTGGATCCCCTAGTCCAGAAAGAATTAGAACAATCTTACTCTCAAGTTCAGATTCTTTCCAAAAAAACTATATATAAATACCGTGACATCTTCCCGTCTGATGAAAAAAATGATAAACCTCACAAACCAAAATATGAGGCATCAATGTCCAAAACCCTCACCTCAAACACGCCTTGAACCAGTTCGTTTATTCTTCTACCCCCATCAACGGCTTTCAAGCCTTCCACATGATATAAGAAAAATAATTTTCCAAAAAGCCAAAGAAAAATTCGAGAAAAGAAGAAGAAAAAATACATGAATTTCTTATAGAAAAGGCAAAGAAGAAAGAAGTTAAGGAGGGCCTAAGAATTTGTGACACATATCATTACGACCAACATGTGGAGTGCAAAGGAGACTGTGTAATTCCCTTGGACATCAAGAATGATAGTTAACAAATTGGACATCAAGAATGATAGTTAAAAACTTATTTAAAGATAAAAAGCTTCAACCAGCCAAATACAGACTCGTCTACCAAAACCCTGTATACAAAATCTACGTCTATAACAAAAAACAATTGGGAAAAAACCTAAACCCATTCTTCACGTCGATCCCATAGCAGATTGGTTTTAATGCCTTAGTCGGAAAACTCCAAAACAAAGGCAACACAACTTCAAGATACGAAGACTCGCGCTTCTACAAAAGCCTTTTAGAAGAAGAAGAAGATGAAGAAAAAGAATCACCATGCTTGAAGGAGACGACGATCAACCTTGCGGACAATTATGAAGATTCATTTTTCGAAACTAATGACACTTGATATTGTTAAGTATTGTAATTTATTCCCTAGGTTTAGTTGGTTTTATTCAATATGCTTTTTTGTTAAAAAAATAATAATAATGAAAGAAAAATCAAGAAATAAATAAATAAATAAATAAAAATAAAAAATATCAAAAATAAAAAGATAAAATTTCGAAAATAGAAAAAAAAAAAGAAAAGAAAAATATCAAGAAAAATCAAATAAAATCATGATGAAGTAGAAAATAACACCATTCTACCCCACCCCATCAAGTCTTACAAATCCATCTATAAATACCACCCCATGGAGACCAACACAACATACAATTCACACAACACACAACACACAACACACAACACCAACACACCATACTACTATCTCTTTCTTCTTCCATAAGCCTTCTCCCCTCTCCTCTCCTCTCTTCTCCTCTCTTTCCTCTCTAAATGCCGAGAGCATTTAGAACTGTTTAAGCTTCGATAACTTTACTTTTCTTTGGTGTTCCTCAAATTTTTATATTTTTAAACTCTTTCAAAATCCCATATGTATTGTTAGTATAGTGCTAGTATTGAATATTCAAAAGACTACTAAAAGATTTGAAGGCTTGGAGTATTTATTATATCAAACACCGATTATCAATACAAGGTTCGTATATGATCAAGTTGTTGTTCATTTATGTTTAAGTTTTTGTTCATACTTTCAATTTCATTTATTTTGTGGTGGTTCAGCCCCATAAGTGTTCTCTTTTTTTTTACATTCATGGTGGCACTAGCCCCATATTAATATTTGAAAGTGCTGAAGATTGGCAGTAAATCGATGAACCTTCTGATGTTCGCAGAGTCCAAAAATTTACGAAAGTATTTAAGGGAAGTTTATTTTTGGCATGAATAAGTCTTAATTTTAATTAAGTCCTTTGGACTGATTATTTACGTTTTATTTTGGCAGGACTTAGGATTGAGGGGGAGATACGCTTTCCATAAATCTAAAGAGAAGGAGGATCGCGAGATTCACCTTCCATAATCGAAGATGAAGAAGTTCAAGAGATTTACTTTCCTTATCTGCATGTGTCTTGGGTGAAAAGACTTTCAAAGGGTGCTGAAGATAAAAAGGAGGACGAGACCAGAGTTGAGGACGACTTTTGCATCTGAATTTTTTGAGTTAGTTATTTTTTTCTTTCGATTAGTGAAAAAGAGTGATATCCAGAACATTTTGTAAAAGAACGTTCGGAGGTTCGTTCTTATAGTTTGAGGGATTCAAACTAGAAAATCTACAAGGGAGTTGTGGTCGGATAAGTAGTTGTGTGAATCATCATTCAAGTAGAGTGTAGAGGGAGTCTATACTGTAAACCCTTAGATGATGTATGAGTTGTTCACATTAATGAAAGAGATCTGAAGGGAGAGTGGAACGCTCTCCTGAAGGTTCAATTTTTAGTGAAGAACTGCTTCCGCAATTGTTTGAATCTTCTTTACTGTCTGTCTATTCGATTTACGTGCAACTCTGGATACTTGGTGCTCAAGTATCAAATTTCAATTGGCACTAGAGCGGGTTTTAGTCTTCTTTACGAAAAATCCTAGGACGTGTGTTACCATCAAATCATGAATCAAGAAAGCGGATCGATGTCCAGGCCCCCGCAATTGGACAGTTCGAACTACTCATATTGGAAGTCTATGATGACAATATTTCTTAGATCGATTGGAAAAGGCGTGTGGGGAAGTGTTGAAAATGGCTGGGAGCATCCAGTCATGCAACAAGCACCCGATCAAGGTAAAGAAACAACGAAAGTCACGGTTTCTAAACCTAAGGACAACTGGACTGATGCTGAGAAACTTCAAGAGGAAGCCAACTATCGTGCCTTGTATGCGATTATGATGGCAGCTGATCAGACAAGACACAAGATGATAGTTCATTGCAAAACTGCAAAAGATGCTTGGAGGGTCTTACAGCGTCAATTTGAAGGTTCAACGGCTGTCAAAGCGTCCAGACTTCAACGGGTAACTCTTGAGTTTGATGAGATCAAAATGAGGGATGAAGAGAAAATTGACGTATACTATACCAGATTCTGTGATCTGGTAAATCAAAGCATGATGCTTGGAGAAGAAATCTCTGAAAAACGTCAAATACAAAAGATTATGAGAACCGTCGTTCCCAGGTTTAGAGAGAAAATCACAGCTTTTGAAAGTTTCCAAAGAGTGGCGTTGTTGGATATTGATGAACTTCTTGGAGAGCTCAGAACTTTTGAAATCAACAACAATTATGACAAAGTCAAAAGTAAGGGCTTAGCTCTCAAAGCTGCTGTAGTTGAGGAAAGAGAAGAAAGCGATGACGATGAAGGTCCGTTGGCAGATGATAGTGAGCTGAAAGAAGCACTAGCTTTAATCGTGCGAAACTATAGGAAGATGAGTCAAAGGTTGTACAAGAACAAATTTGCTGGAAAAAAGGGGAACAGTTTCAGCAAGAATGTGGTGCAGGACAAGAAAAGTAGTATGCCACTCTCAAAATCCGATTCACAACGCGTCGAGAAGGATCAGTGCAGGGAATGTCGAGGCTTTGGACACTTCCAGTACGAGTGTGCTAATCTTAAGAAGAAGAATAAGTCACTTAAGGCAACTTGGGAAGATTCAGATGAAGAAGGCACAAACGAACCTTCATTACACACAAGCAACCTGGCAGTTCATACATCAGTCAAGAAGTTCATGTGTCTCACCACTTCTCATGCTCCGACCAAGTTTGAAGAAAGTTTGAAAGAAACTGAAGCATCTGAGGATGAAGCAGATCAAAATGTGTGTGTAGATCCAGTTCACTTACTTGCTATGGAAAAGTGTGCTCAAGCATCTGAAGCTCTACAGAAGCTCCAAAATGAAGTGTTTAGACTCTCAAGAGCAAACGGGGTGCTGAACGGACAAGCATCCGCCTCCACTGCTACTAAAGAGCGTGAACTGGATACTGCTAAGGCACGAACTTGCATCCTTGAGAGCAGTGTCTAACTTGCTAAACAAGACGGATTGGAAAAGGCTCAGACCATTGAATGCTTAAGGACTGAACTATTCTCTACTCAGAAACTTCTTGCCGAGCGGAACCAGGAAATTGTACTACTGAAAAATGAAGTTGATCAGATGATGAACGAACATGCTAGCATGGAAAGCAAACTAAAGGCAAATTCTGCTGAGTTGAACCGAACTGCAGAAGTTGTTCAAAAACTGAACAAGGGAAAAGCAGATCTGAATGAACTTCTTTCCTTGGGAAGACAACATGGTGATCTTACTGGAATAGGATACACTGGTAGGGAAGACATTCCTGAGTCCTCAGCTGGAGCTTCAAATACAAAACATACCGGTCTTGGATTTGGGGACAAACTTGGAGTTGGAGGCGTGAACCTCCATGGGAGACCTTCCAGAAAAGTGGTTAACAGGTTTGTAAAAAGCACTGTAAGTAAACCCATATCTCCACAATCTCCCTTGAAGGTTCATTCTTCCATGCAGAAATCTGTTATTAAAACTCACCATAATTTTGTCACTATCTGTCATTACTGTGGTGTAACTGGTCACATAAGACCCAAATGCTATAAAATGCAGCATGATCTGTGTACATGTAATGTTAGGGGTTGGAATCAGTCTGGGATTCCAGTGAAGGTCCATTCCAGGACCCTCTCAAATAACCGTACCAAAAATCATCAAGTGTGTGTTGCTAAGAAATCTTTCAACTGTTTTGCCTCTGTTCTGTCCCTCAGGATTCTCTGAAATGTAAATGGTATCTGGACAGCGGCTGCTCTAGGCACATGACTGGTGAACCTTCTTACTTGATGAACATTCAACCCAGTTTAAATGGGGAAGTCATATTTGGTGATGGAGTGAGCAATAAGGTTATTGGAACTGGCCGTTTAAATTTGGGTGGAATACCTAAACTAACTGATGTGTTACTTGTTGATGAGCTAAAGGAAAATCTCTTGAGTGTGAGTCAACTCTGTAATCAAGGCCTTAGTGTCAGTTTCTCATGTGATAAGTGTTATGTGAAAGACAGTGAAGGTTTTTGTGTACTTAAAGGTTCTCATTCAACAGATAACTGTTATCTTGTTGATGTTAATGAAAAATGCCTTTTCTCAAATGTGAGCGAACTTGAAATATGGCATCAACGCTTAGGGCATATTGGATACTCTCGCCTTGTCAAATTTACCAATGCAGGTATAGTCAGGGGTGTTCCAAAGATTGCTATGAAGGACCAGCCAATTTGTGAATCTTGTCAACTAGGTAAGCAAACGAGGACATCCCACAAGTCACTGAACCATATTGCTTCTAAACAGATCCTAGAGCTTCTTCACATGGATCTCATGGGTCCCATTCAGGTAGAAAGCTATCAAGGTAAAAAGTATATTTTTGTGTGCGTTGATGATTTCTCTCGATATACTTGGGTTGATTTTTTGCGTGAATAGTCTGGCACATTCTCTGCCTTTAAGTCACTTTGTTTGAAGGTTCAAACTGAGAAAGGTTTTCCCATAATAAGTATTCGAAGCGATCATGGAAGAGAGTTTGAAAACTCTGAGTTTGCTGAATTTTATGATTCTCTGGGTATTAGTCACGAGTTCTTAGCTCCTAAAACTCCTCAGTAAAATAGAGTTGTTGAAAGGAAGTATCGCACACTACAAGAAATGGCCAGAGTCATGTTAAACTCCAAAAACATTTCTTCCAGATGGTGGGCTAAGGCAATCAATACAGCATACTACCTCGTGAATCGCGTGTACCTTCGTCGAGGTATTGGTCTGACTTCATATGAACTCTGGAAATGTAAGAGCTCTAACCTTAGTCACTTGCATATTTTTGGGTGTAAGTGTTTTATCTATAATGATCGTGTCCAACTTGAGAAGTTCGATACAAAATTGGATATTGGATTCTTTCTTGGTTACTCTAACAATAGTCGAGCGCATCGTGTTTACAACAATTGTACCTCCACAATGATTGAGTCCATAAATGTAATCTTTGATGAAAAAAATTCTCAAGTTAGTTCTTATGTATTCTTTAATAAGTTTGAAAATGTTGAGGCATTGCAGGATACTCAGGGTGTTAAGAGTTCTGCAGACAAGGAGATAACTGAACCTTCTGTTGAGGATACTGAAACATCAACTGACTACATTGTCCATGCGACTCAAGAAGGTTCTGTGTCACTTAGGCGTGATCCTCCCTTAAGGGTTCAGAAAGACCATCCATCCAAGCAAGTCATTGGTGACATAAACGAGAGAGTAACCAGAAACTCGAAGACGTCAGTCAAAGAACTAAGGAGGCTCTGAAACACGAGTGTTGGATCTTAGCCATGCAGGAGGAACTGGAGCAATTCACTAGAAACGATGTCTGGGAGTTAGTCCCAGAACCTTCCTCGGGAAATGTTATCGGAACCAAGTGGATCTTCAAGAACAAAACTGATGAGTTCGGGAATGTGACACAGAACAAGGCGAGACTAGTAGCTCAAGGCTACACTCAGACTCAAGGGATTGATTTTGATGAAACCTTCGCCCCCTTTGCTAGACTTGAATCAGTACGCATATTTCTATCTATTGCATGTCTAATAAAGTTCATTGTTTCTCAGATGGACGTGAAGTCTGCTTTTCTAAATAGGATATTACATGAAGAGGCTTACGTGAAGCAGCCTGAAGGTTCAAAGATCCCAAGAATCCGAATCATGTCTACAGGCTTAAGAAAGCATTGTACGGATTAAAGCAAGCTCCTCGTGCGTGGTATGAACGCCTTACCATGTACCTTCTGGAAAAGGGATTCAAGAGATGAGGAGTAGATCAGACATTCTTTGCTCTTCGAACGAATGAGGACCTATTGGTTGTTCAATTGACGACATCATCTTTGGATCAACATTCAAGAAGCTGGTCAATCACTTGGTGAAACTTATGTCGTCTGAATTTGAGATAAGTCTAGTCGGTGAACTTTTGTACTTTCTTGGACTTCAGGTAAAGCAAGGTAAAGATGGCATTTTCTTGCATCAGGGTAAGTATGCAAAAAACCTTGTTAAAAAGTTTGGTCTTGAAAATGCTAAATGCCCTCAAACTCCCATGGGCACTCATGTAAAAGTGTCCAAAGATGATGAAGGTTCATCTGTTGATCAGACTCTATACAGAAGTATGATTGGTAGTCTTTTATATCTCACTGCTAGTAGACCTGACCTTTGCTTTAGTGTTGGATTGTGTGCCAGGTATCTGGCTGCCCCCAAGGAATCACATATGAAAGCAGTCAAGCATATAATAAAGTACATTGGAGGTACAACAGAGTATGGTCTATTCTACTCTACTGATACGAACTTACATCTTGCAGGTTATAGTGACGCTGACTGGGCTGGAAATCTTGATGATCGAAAAAGTACCTATGTTGGGTGTTTTTACATAGGATCAAACTTGGTATCTTGGTTCTGCAAGAAATAAAACTGCATCTCCCTTTCTACTGCTGAAGCCGAGTACATTACCGCTGGAAGCTGCTGCTCTCAGTTGGTATGGATGAAACAGATTCTATCTGAGTATGGTATGAACGTTCATTCGGCTCAACTTTTATGTAAGAACACTAGTGCTATAAATATTTCGAAAAATCCTGTCCAACATTCTCGTACCAAGCATATTAACATTCGTTATCATTTTATTCGTAATTTGGTAGAAGATGGGATTATTGTGTTAGACCATGTACCTACAGATGATCAGCTTGCTGATATTTTCACTAAAGCTCTTGATTCGAAACGATTTTTATCCCTGAGAAAATCTTTAGGAATGTGTGCTATATGATTTATGTGCATTGTGTCAGTTGCATTTATATATATATATATATATATATATATCGTGTCTATTACATATAAGATCTTTTCTATTTTTTTTCTAGGCATCTTAGTATGTAGGTTCATCCCTGGAATTCTTCTCTGATCGTTTATTGTTTAGTTTGTTGATTGGTGGTCTGTGATTTCTAACTGGTCAGTTTGTAAGAGCTCGTCATGATGACCATTTAAATATACTTGTAAGAGCTGCTCTCGTGAAGATAGGCATCGGGCAACTATCACATGAGGTGTTTCCTTGATCACCTGTAAAACGAGTTACGTGTCTAATAATAATCGAGGTGTGATAGCTACAGGTAACTATTCTAAGAATGAACGCTCTCTAGTGAAATAAGGTTGGCTATCCTGATATCTTCTCAGCTTGTTCAAAATTAAAACTTTTTGCGGGATGATTCACACCTCAAGTAATTGGCTAGACATTGGCGTATAGTTGATGTTAGTAAGTGAATTGGTGTGAAAGTTCATAGAACGAAGTAAGTTCATCATAAGTATTGGGGCTGAATTGTGAACGAAAATTTCGTTGTTTGCTAAGAGAAAGTGATGAACGAACTTATATTAATTCTGTGTTGTATAAAAGTGGGAGCAATAAGGGCTGAGTTGTGCACGAAGAGAATTTATTTTTCTTATCATCTTGTTAGCGTCGAGCTCGTCTCAAATTGATTTAAAAAAAATTGTGGGTCAATCAATTAATGAATCTTTTCAATATTGCGTGAAAAGAAAATTTTAGGGTATTGCGTGTTAAGTATCTATTTTAGGCATGTGCTTCCAGTTTTTCTCATGGCATATATTATTTCAATCTTGCGCCTAAAATTATTTTTGGTACATGATTTGGCCGATATTCGTGTCTAAAACTTCATGCATTATAGATGGTAACTGTATCAATTAGATTGGTAAGTGATCTTTTTGGAGGGAACGGTTTTTTAATGTCCTTTGCCGTGTTGGTCAATTTTTTTCAAATTTCAAATTCTATGAGTCGAACCGTCTTGTAACTGCCTTGGTAACTGTGATTTATGTTTCCTACATCATCCTTATCACCTTTGCTTCTCTCTCATATCAATCATAATCTCTGATTTGTTTTTTCTTCTAAAAATTCTCTAACATTCCTTATTTAAGAGAATCTATACCTTTCGACAATGCCTAAATCCAAGTAGGGCACCGTGAAAGCAAAGAAGAATGTTCCTCCGCCATCTCGTCGTTCAACTCATCAAAGTCAGAGTTCCGATACTCCACCAGATCCAACTCCTTCAACAATGGAAACCGAGAACATTCAACCTCCCATTAAATCCACAACTAGGGTTTCTCCAAGCCCTAAAAAATCCTCAACGACAAAAGCTTCTCAACCTGAAGTTGCCGAACCCATTGACAAAGGAGGAAAAGGTTCTCCGTCTGTCGTCAAATCTCTAAAGAAGCACAAGAAGGTCGCCGAAACTGCCGCACCTAAAACCAAAAAGGCAAAAAAGGTCGTTCATGTGTAACACCCCGACTTTTTATTACTATCAGAGTACGCTATTTTTCGCAAATTTTCTGAATAAAACATAAAACATTAATTTTTGCGAAAACTGATTCGGGATGCTACCGTGAAAAACTTGATTTTTCTGAAAACCGTTAAAATTTTAAACTGATAATTAAAAACGGTTATAACGTCTTATCCGACTATCGTAGGAACAAAAACTGATAATAAGTACTGAAAGTTTTGCGGAAGTCAAATGTGGCAAAAACATATATACATATAATCATAAATGTCCTGAACAGCCCGCCCGCTCACTCCTCGTCTCCGACCCTGCGACCTGAAAAACATGAAAAACG